AAGTGACTAGTACAGAATTCAGCTATGGCAACCCGAAATTCCATGTCTTTTAGGACCCGCGCAGTAAGTGCATGGTTTTAGCGGATGCTCTCGAAGCGTCCCAGTAGTCGTGTGGGGCACGTTTTGAATCTGGCTGGAAATCGTACCCGAAACAGACTCCCATGCTGGCGAAAATTGAACACACCACTTCGTCATCGTGATGCAACCTCTTCAATGCCAGGGAAAAAATAGCGAGGCCTCGTTTTCGGGTCCCGTAATATCGTAACTCAGCAGATTTTGCCAAGCTCTATTCTTTTCGCTTCGCAGAGCAATTTGTCGTATCAACGGCGGGACACAAGGCCGAGCTAAGCATGTTGTTATGACACAGGACGTGTCAATGAAATATAACGTGAGAATACAAGGTCGCTATTGCAATGAAGGCACGAGGTTATATAGGTGTTGGCGTGCTAGGGCGATAACCTCGGAACATGGGTAGGTTCGGCAATGTGACGACAGTGCTGGACGCGACTCGGAAAGAGGTTGGGCCGATAATTGAGGCCGAACGTGACGAGTCCAGGATTTCAGGTGTACGCGCTAGCGTACGACCCAGTAAGGAATGGAAATTCCTTACATATGCTCTCTGTAGTCGACACTTGAGCCTCGCGACATCTACACTCGCCGTAACAAGTTTTGAACATGTACAGAAGACGTAAAAGGCACGTGTCAGCGCAAAATGAACACACTAAACCTGCCCTTACTGCACCTGGACTGGATGATTGACGTGGGTGGGGTAAAGTTTAATTCACCAGGGCGACCCCTAGAGACATGGGAAGGCTTATGACCCGTTCCTGCGTCGTGCATCCGCGGATGTGAGACGCAGAAAGACATGGGAGTGGTGGGAAGTTTTCCAGTGTCCACGACTTTTGTTAGTGAAGCGAACTTAAAAATCAAGGGTAGCCGGTTGGCCAAGCGCCCAAATCGTTGTCGCCAAGGAACACTATACAACTAGTTGCGTGCCAATTTCTCACCCAACAAATTCTCAGGTTTTGTCGCCTTCCTAAACCACTTGCCAGTTGCCGCCCCAAACTGACGCGTGTAAATATCGAAACTTTTGGGGAAGGTGTGTCACACTTCACCAAGTCAGCAACTAGCTGAGCTCAGCGATGAATCCTCCCCCATCTCAGTCCGAACACAACCACACCCAAGGAACCCAAACTGAGGCGCATATAAACCCACGTGTATACAACCGGTTTGTCGACTTGGATTGCGCCCCGCAGCAAACCACAATTTTTCGTGAAGGAATTAGGGGTCCTTAGAAGAGGTCACGCGCCAATCAGAATTCGCTCCAAACAAAAATACGAAACGAACGGGTGCAAAGGTTGAAAGATGCACACCACATCAAAACTCCCCACACATATGCAAACTAACAAGAAACGTTCCAAGCATTGAATTTGCCCAGCAATACCCCGCCGTGGCCAATTCCCAATGCGTGTGTTGCCGCGGTTCCCTCATAATGAGCTCAGACGCAACCCACAGAGTGCAAAGAGCAGAACATAGAGCAGCAGACTCACCCAAACGACAGAACGGAACGCAGCAGACTCACGCACACAACATCTCATTTTTTTACGGAGAAACAGAACGTAGACCATGCCAACCCCAAGGCGTAATACTGCACTAACGTTAGACGAGAAGCGGAGACTCATTCTATATGCAGCAGACAATCAGAACCTTGAAAATAAGGATCTATTAGACTGGGTGGAGGCAGAATTTAATATGACGCCTCATCGTACCACTATCCAGAAAATTATCCAAAATGGAAAATATTGGCTCGAATGCACCACCCTGCCGCCTACACGGAAATGCAAGACCAAGGGTCATTACCCCGCGTTAGAGACTAGGTTATCTCAGTGGGCAGCTCATCAAAATGAGGCGAATAATCCCGTCTCCTTCCATGTGCTTCTCGCAAAGGCGAAAGATTTAGCCGTCGAGATGAAACTGTCGAAAGACTGCGATGTTAGCCCATGATGGCTATGCCGAGCATTGGCCCGCTTAGGGTTGGCATCGTACATCCGCAAGGGAGAGGTGACGGATGCAAATGCGCATTCTATCGGTCTCGCGCGAGAGATTATCCCTGAGATTCTAAGCCATTATGAACCCTCCGACGTGTTCAACATGGAAGAGACGGGGTTCCTCTCTGATCAACAACCCCGAAGATCCTATGCATCCCAATCTCTAAGTGGTTGCAAGGTTGATAAGGAGCGGTTCACCCTCGGCCTATGTGTGACCACGGATGGCTCCGAGTTCTTACCGTCCATCGTTATAGGCAAGAGCTGCCGCCCACGTTCATTCTGCGGGGATTTTCATGTGCAGAATTTCGCATGGTACCGCTCAAATGGTCGGGCGTGGATGACAGCAGAGGTGAGTCTTTTCGTGCTTGGTCTCTTGATTAATGAGCATGCGCTTGGTTCTGTTATGCTGAGTAGCCCAACTGAGATGATAAGTGTGCATTTCCCATAGAAATGACGACGTTGTACCCTTCACATATAATCTTTACACACCTTGGTAGGTTTTCCCGCAGTGGCTCGATACAAAGAGTGCGCAAATGCAGGACCAAGGACGTCACATTGTGCTCCTTGTGGACAACGCTAGCACTTACAACATCGTGCGGTCGATTGTGGACATCACAAAGCATGAGTACAAGGGGATCAAGATCGTCGACATTCCTTATGTACGAGTCGTCTACCTCCCGCCAAACTGCACGTCACACGTTCAACTGCTCGATTAAGGTGTCATCTCCACACTCAAGTTGCGCTACAAGAGGCTATTGATGGATTGGCTTATCAAGGAGTTAGAAAGGCCAGAGCGTGTAGTGGTTGGGGCGGGCGAAAAGACCAATTAAACGGGCGCGGATGGCGAGAGTATAGGGGTCATGACGGAGGGGAGCATGGTGACAAGGTCCACTGCAAGGAGAGGGGGAGGGGGAGGAGGGGCTGCCCAAGCGGCCCGATCTACGCACGGCCATAGTATGGGTAAGTGGGGTGTGGATGCAATCGGACTTTCAGATCGTGCGACGGTGTTGGCGCTGTAGTGGGATAGTACCTTGCTCATGGCTTACAGCATGGGGACTAAGTCGTGTGTTTGAGGGGCCCTCCCAAGATCCTCCCACAGAGGATCCCACTTCCCTCACGCGCCTCATCGGGCGGCTTCGGCTTCGCGGCACGCCCATGATTGGCCGGGAGTTCATAACATTTGATGATGCTCTGCCCATTTTTTATGTTGGACAACCCCTCACCCATCAAGAGAGAATTGGCCGCTAGTTTCCATATCCTTCTTCCCGTTCTGCCCTGGTTGACTTTAACAACGCCCCCCCGATTGAAGCAGACGCCGCTCCTGGTTCCACACGGGCAGCTGTTGCAAGGCTGCCTGAGTTAGCACCAGACAGTCGCCTAGCTAGCTTTTTCAAGCCGTCAGTCAAGCGCAATTCGAGAGCGCTGTCATCCACTTGCCCGTATCCCGACCTCGTACAATGGGCACGCGCTAGCTTGGGGCTTTGATTGGATTTGCATTATTTTTCCCATGACTGATTTTATTTTGTCTCTTTTCCATTCTAAATTTGAATTGGTTGCTCGGACTAACATGCTTCTGAAAGTTTAGGGTGTTATTGTTATTTTTCCATCTGTTGCAACGCTTATATTTGCTATGTGTTGTATATGAAGCACACTGTTGTGTGCACTCGTGTGCACGCTTGTAATTTACGACTTGCGCGCAATGTCAAGGGAGGCCTGGTGTCGCTTAGTCATCTCTTTTTTGGCGCGCGCTGACTCAGAGCCAGTTTCGCGCGCTTGCTCTTTGAGAAATTAACGCCAACTTCCCAGTTGGCGCTAATTCCTCACCCCTCCACTAACGACAAGCTACAGCGCCACAAGCGATAGCAAATAGTGATTTGAGAAAATGGCGCCGGATAGGTGTACTGTGGACAAAACGCCTAAGGGCGTGTACAGCGCGTTCGTTTACTATTCACTTTGCATATCAGGTACAAACTTTTGACCTGGTAACCCGAAATTTCGTGTCCATTCGGACACGCACGATAAATTGACGGTTTTGGCGGACACCCTCCAAATGTGCCCACAGACGTGGGCCACACGTTTCCGAACCGAATGAAAATCGTGCGCAAATTATGTACACGGTAGAAACGTCCAAATCCTGGCTGGCAAAAAATAGAACGCTTACTCTCGCCAGGCTTTCGTGACGCTTGCGAAGCACGGCGAAACAAGCGGAAGAAGAATTGGAGTTGCATGCGCGACTCGCACGGGGCCTCTTTCCCGGGACGAAATTCGGTTACCCTGCTGTTTTCGCATCTCAGTCTGTTATGTGCGCACTGCACACCCGCTCATTTGTATAGCCATGGGCGGGGCTCGTATCCGCGCGTTTTGCTGTTGATACTGTGGGTGTACCTCAACACATTCACACTTGGCGAATCAATATTTCGGCGTGTTAAAAAAACGTCAAAAAATCGGTGTTGGGGCAAAATGAACGCGCTGGACACGCCCTAACCCAAAGTGTACTGTAGATCCGAGACAGAAACTTGAAGGCTAGCGTGCAGGTCCATTAACGAAATGCATGCGCTGTACTAAATTGCAAAATTGGGTGTACAAATAGCGCCTTCGTACGGAAATTCAACGCAAAGCAACGTTTGCCACAAGACTCGATTTCAGGAAGAAGGGCGGTGCACCATCCCGTTTTTGTCGCGTTGGGCTCGCGGTACTGTGTGTGGGGTCGCATTTTCGGTTCAGCGACTTTCGCCCTCGGAAATTGTCACACATCCGTTTTAAGGGAAGACACGCAGTTTGACTACGAGACACCAGGTTTGCCCCAGAGCCAGAAGACACCCGCGGGTGACGCGACGCAGGAACTGTCCTAGGTTCTGCAATAAACACATCCCAGGGTTGGAATGGGACACATTCCCCAACTGCTTGTATCCATTTGCGTACATGGTATGATATATCATTCGTGTGATAGCAGCTCGTTCATATTTGCACTTCACATGAATGAAACACAAACACATGAAATAATGAGGCGTTTAGATACATTCACTGGCGAGTTCCCTTCTTCGGTGTTAAGACTTCTTAATTTCTGCACTGCTCAAGGCCGAGTGCATAGCCCAGATGGCAAGTGGCCGCATGTATGCTAATGAGCGAAAGCGACCATCAGTGTCCCAACCCTCCGGGGTTTGGAACCAATAACTGCCCATTGTCAAAGAGGGGCGGAGAAAGAGTGAGAAAAGTGAAAGGGGGTGGGGAGTCACTCTATCATGACAAGTCCCCATGTAACATACCCATTTGAGGACATTGCTCCCAAGCATCATTTGCACACTTGCAGCATCAGCCCATATCACGCTCACCCAAGCCCACAGGCTCATATCAGCACATCCCATCAACCCACCCAGCTCACCCCAGGTCGTTCCACCCCGCCTGGTGAATGCCCTGCGCTGTGCGGAAGGCCTGAGAGCGGCATGCCCTGGCGCACACATGGAAGAGTGGGGAGGGGAGGTATTAGTGGGTTAAAGCCGCAGTGCACGTTTGACACATGAGTTTCAGTTTTCTTATAGAAAGAAGCACAACACAACACCGCATATCAGGGCGGCACATCACTGCTGAGCAGGGAGGAGAGCAGAGGCGGAATCAGCAAATCCCATGCGAGAGCACCCCTCTCATGCCATGAAGCGGATTGAAGCCAGTGAGAGGCGGCGTGAGGCCATGCCATGCCATGGTGCAAGTTGATGCCTAGAGGATGGAAGGCACAAGCATGGTGGTGCCTCGAGGCGCCCCATGCCAAGCCATGAGAGTGACTGATGGGGACACGAGCGAGACACATGCAGGGTGAATGCTGTATGTTGCATGGGCAATGGCGCATGGTGCATGGTGCATGGTGCATGGTGCATGGTGTGTGGTGCATGGTGCATGGTGCATGGTGCATGGTGCATGGTGCATTGGGCGTGGGGTGTGGTGCATGGTGCATGGTGCAGAACCTCATAGATCATTGTGGCAGCCAATCCGTACGTGACACCTGTCCACACCTCCCGCGATTGCAAGCACGTGTCATCCACCTGTAAGCACATGGCATTGAGCACATGGCATGGAGAACGGGGCATTGAGCATGTGGCATGTCAGCAGTGAGCAGAAGGACACATGAAGAGTGGAGCAGTAGCAGCAAGAGTGGGTTCATGAGTGTGTGAGGCCCAAACAAGGATAGGGGAAGGCTGAGATACAGTGGATTAGCCCCATGGGCCATGGTGATGCATGGGTCATGGTGATGCATGGGTCATGGTGATGCATGGGTCATGGTGATGCATGGGTCATGGCGATGCATGGGCCATTACCCCTGCCCAGTGCCCGCCTATTCGATCCCCACCTGCCCATTGGGTCGCATGCCATTGACTGCCCCCATGCGCCCTCCCTCCAGTCGCATCACATTGTACCTAATGGGTGGCATCCGGCATCCGGCATGGGGCACGGGGCATGGGGAATGGCAAAAGGAATGTTGCCATGCCAGGCCACTCA